ATTGATTTATATACGTTTCGATAGATATGGTAGGATCAGTGATTTCAGATAGCTCAACAATTGAGAGTCTTATCCGTTGATCTTCCACTTGATTTGATCGTTTTCTCTCATATAATGGATTGTGAAAAGATGGTCGATCAATTACCGAAAATTCAAAATTTCTTCTTTCTTTTGAATTTTTTCGGAATTAACTAATACCAAACATATGCTATTCCTCACAATGAATTTCTTCCTTGTAATGATAGTGTATTTCGATTTTTACAGAACTATTTATGGAACATACTTTATTGATGAAAAAAAAAGAATGAAGTTACAATATTAATGTTTCAAATTAAAGAAATTATAAAATTGATTATCACAGCATTTGAAGAAAATGAAAGGAATTAACGTCAGCATCTTCAAAGTATCGAAATCTTTCAAAAAGTCCCATCCAAAGGACTAACAAGATTCCTTGCATTAACTTTTTTCTTCGATATTGCTAATGATCATTCGACTGATTGAATGCTATTCCATTTTAGAAGTGTTGTGAATTCCAAAGCCGAGAGATAGCAAGTTTTTGTTTAAAATATTCACTCAATTGAAAAGAAAAACGAAAGTAAAAATAAATTTTACTTTGTCTTTTCATCGGGTCAACTGCTTAAAATTGAATTTTTCCGAAAAGATTTATTCATTTTTTTAATTGTAACATAATTAATTCCTGATGAAAACGATTGATCCTGATCGATCAAATAATTAGCTTGTCGCAATGAACTGATCCGTTTTCTCGATAACGATAGATGAAATTGTAATTTGAATGAATTAAATTGTAACCTCAGAAAAGAGCAAGGGAATATTAACAATCTCCGATCTTCTCATTTCGAAACCTTTAATTTATCATTTCAGCTTAAATCATACCAATAATCCGATCATCTGATCTGAAGCCAAATACTAAATTAACCTTTCGCAAATTGAGCCCAGGCCTCGAGTGAATCCATTTGTCTTCATAGTTGTTGATGTTTCTATTTGTGTGTTTATCGGTGTAATGGCTGATGCTGGTGTAGAGGCCAAGGAATTATCAATAGAAGAAACAGCCAAGAAATCATCAACAAAAGAAGTAGCCACGGAATTACCAACAAAAGAAGCAGAAGTAAGTTTACTTTGTTTTATGCGAACATCATTAACAATAACAGTTACTTAGTGTTACGTGAACTAATCACTTATTTTGTTCAAATACTGTGTTAGTTTGACAATTACTGTATGTCGCATAAGTATGGTTTAGTTTTTCACTTTCTAATAATAGTTTAATTATTGTGTGAAAGTGAAATTTAATTACTTTTACATGGGAATTATGGTGCAATTATAATTCTTAAAGGTAACATTTAATATCTATGGTTTTGTTCTAAATGTAATTGCTGTTGTTGTTAATATAAACGTCTAAGAACTACCAGATAAGATGGCTGAATTATGCTTTTCACGTGATAATGATATGATAAAATGATGTAACAAATGATGTGATAACGATGTGACAGAATATGCAGATATGCCTTTTGATAGTAGTTTTTATAGTAAAATGATATGTAAACCTTTTTATTATTTAGAGCAAAAGTGAATTTTCAAGCTCAGCAGCTCAAGTTGCCGATCATTATAATGCAGTACCACAAAAGGGTGTTGCTGAGAGGACAAGCAGCCGGATATTTTACCTTCGAAATTTTAACAATTGGATCAAAAGCATGTTAATTGGTATGTAATCTTCAAATAGTTTTTCAATTTATGGTGAAAGAAAAAAGGATTATTGATGGTATGGTTGTAAAAGTATTGTTTGATGGGATTATAATGAAAATAATACACAATTTAAGGTGATGAAATTTCTTGTAGTATTTCCGAAATAAGTTCTTCCTTTTGATCAAGAATTTTTAGCGGAATTCTTGGAAAGATTGCAAATGGAAGGTTCCCCAAAAACAACCGTACTTGATTTATGCTGTGGTAAAGGTGGTGATTTTTTGAAATGGCGTATTGGAAATGTTGCTCATGTTGTTGCAGCAGGTAATTTCAAGTCTTAGTGGATTTAATTAATTAGCTATAATATATTTAGATGCAAGAATCGTGAAAAAACTGGAAAAACTAAATTGTTATTAAGCATAGATTAAATTGCAAAGAAAATAAATTGGCGAAATCTTTACCTTTTTCTTCCATAAATTTCCATTTCTTCATTGAATATTTTGCCAAATAATTTTTTTGGCATTCAGTGAAATATCACCTAATTTCTAGCGTTGTAATGTAGATCCTGGATAAAACAAGCAGTTATTTTACCTATGTTCTAAGTGATTTTAACTAGTTTTCACATCATTCTTCATCATTTTTCTTGTTTTTGTTCTTTATTTTTAAAGCAGTAGTAAAGTTGCCTATCGTATGTTGACTCAGTGTTCATTATAAACTAAACGATTAAATGTTCAGTTTCAATTTTCAGATGTAGCAAGTGTTTCGATGGAACAATGTGAAAAGCGATACAAAGGTATGAAAGCACGAGAGAATCCAAGACGACCATTATTTAGTGCCGAATTTATTGTAGCAGATGCTACAAAAGTGATTTTTTTTTCTTTCATATTTTTCTCATTTATGCATTTATCCATGGTATCCATCGAAAAAAAAATTCTTTTGCCAGCTCTATTTTGATTCTCGAATGAAAATTGGATATGATTTTAAGAAGTTTCCTTAATCTTTCTCTGTTAGTTTCTAATGCAAAAATTTTTAGGATCGTTTGGTAGACCATTACTATAATCGCTTTATAAAATTCGATATGTGCAGCTGCCAGTTTTCGTTTCATTATTGTTTTGAAAGTGAAAAACAAGCACGAAGAATGATACAAAATGCTGTGGAGAGGTTAAAACCAGGCGGTTATTTTATTGGCACCTTACCGGATGCCGAAAGAATTATGTAAATTTTATATGTTATATCATATGCTAATGTCCAAAGCACTACATTTAAAAAATGAAATCTTGAAAGTTAACAGCCTGGCCAAAAACACTGCCGGAACGCAAACTTCTGCGAAATCTTGCAGGGGTAATTTGCAGTAATTTGAAGTTGACTTGAAAATGGTTCTTTTCTAATCTTTTTGTAATTTTTTAATACGTATGATTGTTTACAAATATGCTCCATCCTTTTAGGAGGTTTTGACCGAAATAAAAATTAGGTTCTAATTGCTGCTGTACATTCTGAACGAGGTAATATAACAAATCTTGCTTATTATTGATCTGAACCGATTAGCTGATCTTAATCAATCTGTTGTCTTACTTAAAATCTAACAATAAGTGTGAAATTCTGTTTCTGAGGTTTTATACTATCCTGTTTTTATTCTATTCAACCCATGAAGCTATTGATGGAAATAAGATGAATTGAAAAGAAGGTAGTTTCTAAGCTATTTAAAAACATGTTTGGTAACATGGGATGAATAGAATATAGGTTATCAAAATTCATCGATTGAAACGACCAACATTTTTGAATTTGAGGACGTTATATGTTACGAAGCTATTAGAATTTCGTTTTTAAGGTATTGTATCAAAAATTCCAAAGATGGAACGTATACCAATGGTATTTCACGTTTGATGTATGGAGATGTTGAAGCGCTCAGAGATAGCACTTACCGTCCACCTGTTTTTGGTGCATTAATTCATTTTTCACTTGATACGCAGGTAAGCTTGAATATTTCTGATGTTTAAATGTTGTAAAGATTGAAATAAACGAATATAGCAATTTCCTATGGCAGCATCAAATGCTTGGATGTTCTCCGTGCTTTTATTACTGAAAATAACTTTCTCATTCTTCTTAACTGTGTAGATTTTTAAATATGTTTTATCTGTGAATGCTTCTTTTCATACTAATGCTATCTGGTAAGGGAAATTTTCCATGGAATTAAAAAATGGGATTCAAATTTTAATTTTTCATTTTAGGTCAACTGTCCAGAATACCTCGTTCATTTTCCTGTCCTCGAAAGGTGAGACTGTTTTTTCTCTTCTTTCCTTTTTCTTTTTTACAATCGTATTCATTTTCTGAATTTCATCGTAATTGCTTGTGCTTCTAAAGTCTAAAATTCGTAATTGGAATTTATATTTCGAAGCAAAAAAGAAAAAAAATCAAGTAGGTCCGAGAAATAGGAATATTTCATTGAAGGAAGTTGTATAAGTTGTATAAATAGTGGTAAAAAAAATCTCCAGTTGAAGATTGCTTGCTGATTGTGGCTTGAAGTTGGTTTACAAGAAACGTTTTCCGGATGCATTTGAATACTATATGAATGAAAGGAATGGACAAGGATTATTAAGACGAATGCAAGGATTGGAACTTTTTCCACCCGATGATGTTAAGTAAGGATTTAATTCACTCGAATTTTTTAGCATTTTCTACTGTCTTTTGGTTTGAAGAATTTTGATTGAAATTTCACGCTTTATCATGATTCACTGATCAGTAGTGTTTGGCAGTTTTTTTTTCTTTAAAGTAAGCTTACAAAAAAATATGTAAAATAAAAATATTCCCTTCAGACTCCTTGTTAAGCACCTGATTTTTCACACTTTTCAGGTTAATGGGACCAGTAGAAAGTTACAAATTCGCTGAGAAGAAGCTAAAAGAAATCATGGGAGAACATTCAGAAGCAGAAAGTGTTAGAATGGTTACTTTTTCTGGCATTTTTTAAAGTCGTTCATCTTCTTAGATGATAATTCTTGTTAATGATCTCGGACGTCTTTTTTTTCCTTTCCTTTTTTTTTTTTTTTACTATTCGGGTATGATTTTCGGCTATATTATTTGGAGTATTCATTTCGCCATGTATTTTCCTTCACTTATCGTGCTACATTTTTGGGAACATTTTTTCAAATTGCGCAAAAAACATGAGAATTTTCAGGGAACATTATCGCAAGATGAGTGGGAAATTGCATCGATGTACCTCGTTTTTGCTTTTCAACGAGAAAAAAGTCAAGAAGAAAAGAAAACTTGAAAGGAAAACTTTATCAGGGAGAAAACTATGGTTCTGATATGATAGATGGCTCCAACTTTGCTTTATATTCGATTTTTTAACGCTGCTTATTCTGTCTTGCTGAGAAGCCTACTCATCCCGGTGGGTTCGAAGAGAATAAACTTTTCAATCGCCTGAAACAATATAGCTTATTGAAATGTGATACTGGCTCATCTGAAATTATTACATGTTTTTTTTTTTCATCGATTGGTTGCTTATACTATAAATGGAATTTGATTGATTTTGTAGGAGCGCTTTTCCAGAAAAGATTAATTTGTTAAATTATTATAAGAAGGAAGATAGTTTTAGAAATTAGACATTTGAAATAATTGAAACTTTGATTCATTGCTTATCATAGTTCCAAAAATTTATTTCTTTCAAAAGTGTTTGTGCGGGATATTCAAACAAATTGTTTTGTGAATTATCCCATCCCTATCATTCAGATCTATTAATTTTGTTGACGTTATAATATCTTAGTACTTTTTGTGTTGTCACGAGATGCCAGCAAATGTCGAACCAACTGGTGTTGGACGATTGATATTGTATCTTACGGGAAATCGCTTATTTGCTTGTTTGTATATTATGGCGTGCCGTAAGACTAACGGGAAACACGCAATACTCATTTAGAATTTTGGATCTTCTTTGTATGATGAATCAAAATAATATTTTAATGACTTCTTTGACATTTAAGCAAATTGATGCGGCCACTTGTCACAATGAAAATGAACTAAAATCGAAAAGTTTAATTCAATCAGGAAAAACATGAATTAGTCCATTTAGGAGAGAAATATAACAAAAATTTTACTTCATAAGAAGCCAAAAAATCTTACTTTTCATAAGTTGCAAAACTATGTATCAAGTCAAATGTATTTTTCCTTCCGAAAAAAAAAACTTGCAAATAAATTTTGTGGGATTCGATAAAATTACAAAATCAAAAAAAAAAAAAGAAATAAAAGCTAATAAATGAGGAGGGAATTTTTGCTCCTTCCCTGAAAATTGTATATTTCCAAATTATTGCAAGCAAAATGTCCTCACCATCTTTCCCTCTTTTAACTCTTTTATCATCATCATCATGCAATTCAAACGAAAATATAAAATATCCAGTTGTTATTATTATCATTATTACTATTACTATTATTATTGTTATTGTTATTATTACTATTACTATTACTATCACTATTATTGCATTATTATTATTATTATTATTATTATTA